TGGTCGATCTCACCAGATGAGGACGGATGAATCTTGTTGTACTGCAGCTGTTTGGCTTTTATACGATATTTATTTTGACGTAGTCCAAAAGTCTTCCTCCTTCGTTTCGGGTGAAAAGGTGCTGAGCTTTCGTCCAACCTGACACATCAAGAACTGATAAAATGGTGCAGATTGACTGTTATTCGGAAAAAAATACAAATGAATGATCAAATAGTTCTTCAGGTGGATAAGGGAGGAGCGAATTTTGTAATGGACAGGAAACAGTACACGGAGAAAATGGAAAGTATCCTTACCGACCGGAACACTTATCAAATACTAAGAACGGATCCAACCACGAAGATCAACGGAACACTCAAGAATATGCTTAAGGAAATGTATACAAATGGGGAAATTTACAGATGAATGATGAAATTTTTAATAAAAAATGACGCAATACCACCGACAGCTTACAGACTACCGAAGATACACAAGGAAGGAAATCCGCTAAGACTTATAGTCAACAATAAGCATGGAGCAATACACAAACAAGCTCAAGAAAGTAAATGATAGACTTTTGAATACCTTCAAGAATTCATATGAATTATCTCAAAGGATCCAGAACATTGGGTTAGTGGGGTCGGAACTGTTAGTGAGTTTCGATGTGCAATCCATGTACACAAACATTTCAGGTGAGAAGGCGATAAGCGCCTTACTGGAGATATTGGAGCGAGAAGAGGATACCCTGGAGGCATAACGGATACGGAAGGAGTCGTTAACACGACTAATCAACCTGACATTTAATACAACATATTTCTCATTCAACGGCATTATCTATGAGCAAATATTTGGACTACCGATGGGATCACCAACAACATATTTCACATTTAACGGCATTATCTATAAGCAAATATTTGGACTACCGATGGGATCACCACTCTAATCTCTTTTGGCAAATGTATATATTGACAAGTTGGAAAGGGAATTAGAGAAGTCACCACTGCAACCAAGAGCGCTCATGCGATATTTGGATGACTACTTTGTACTTTGGTCACATGTTAAGGAAAATCTAAATGAATTTCTCAATTTTATTAACCAACTTAATGAAAGAATTAAATTCACAATAAAGGTGGAGGAGGATGAACGGCCACCTTTCTGGATATTGAAGTCATGCGCTCCAAGGGGATACTCATGAGGAAAGTATCCTTGCCGACCGGAACACTTATCAAATACTAAGAAAGGATCCAACCACGAAGATCAACGGGACAGTGAAGAATATGCAGAAAGAGTTCGTATGCGAGAATAATCCTTAAGTTTTAGTCTCATCATAATTACAGACGGAAGATCGGAATACTGAGGAGTTAGATCATCAGAAGCCTACGATTGACAGACAAAGAGTTCCTGGACGAAAAGTTGGACAAACTGATACGGATTTGTCTTAGTAATGGATACCATAAAGAATTTATAGAGAATAATGTAGAGGTGATAAAGAGCCGATTTCAACTTGAATTTTATCAAAATCAGATCAGGAATGAGGATAACAACCCAAACTGGATTTGCTTGTCCTCATTACAACTGAGTCAACAATTACGACCTTTATTAAGAAAATGGAATATCAAGGTGATAACAGAGAAGAAAACACTTTTCACCGTCTGCCAACGCAACACGAGAAGACGGAAAAACTTGAGTGTTCGGAAGTCTATCGCATCAAATGCGGCAACGGTGTGCAGAAGTATATCAGTGAAACAGGAAGAAAATTCGGCCTACGAATCAAGGAAAATCCAAGTCTCTGCAGAAACATGGATACACAAATATCAGAAATAGCGGAACGCATTGCACGGACGGGTCACGAAATCGACTGGAAATGACCGATAGGTTGGCTGGATATGGTGAAAATACGAGAAAACGCAAGATCCGACAGGCCATTTATATACTGACTGAGAGAAATCTAATGAACAGGAGACTTGAAGAAGGAGA